TGAAAAATCGTAGGGGTTGGAATTTTGACTTGCAAATTTCGGGAGTGGACTTGCAAATTCTTGCTAATTATAACGAGTGATTTGACACCAGTTTTGAAAGTTTCTGACAACAAGTCAGGGCTGCGTGAAGTTGGCCCTTCCTTGGTTCCACCCCTTATAACTCCATTGCTTTTGACTTGCAAATTTTGGGAGTGGACTTGCAAATTCTTGCTAATTACTTGCTAAATAATGGCACTGTGCAAAACTTTTTTTGAAAAAGTGTAAGGGCCAACTTCACGGACGTGTAAAAATTCCTTGTTTTCTATAATTATTGTTTGTTTTTTTCTGCCGCTTTTGAAAACTATTTAAAATTTTTAATTTTGACCTCCCGAATGCACCAATTAAATTCACTCTCCTACTAGACTTACCTAATAAGTTATGTTCAGAATATTATTACAATATCATAGTACCTACTGTTATTTTATTGAATAATATAATTCTAATTTTTTTGAGGTTCCGGTATTAGTCAAAAGAACCAAATGATTTTGCAAGATGCCATCTGTTATTTTTTACCTTTGTGACTTAAACACATCTGGTATAAAATAAGCTTTTTCGTTCATAATACATTATTTTTATAGTTATAAACGTTAACGTTAAGTATACACTGAAGCACAACTGTACATAATATAGTTCAGTAAGCAGTTCATATATATTCGCACGAAAGTGTTGCATCGACATTTTATTTATTAACACTGTCGTTAATGTGACCATTAACACGGTGACATTTTTACATTTTAAACGCGTTCGCGATGTTAATTTAATACATTTTTATTTTTATGCATGTTTTCAAGAAGATATATTTTAAAATTTTGAATTTACGGCCGTTCTAATGAACGAAAGTACATATCATACCATCATAGCATGTTTACACCCAAGATTATCGTTTCCATGTTATTTTTAATTATAATTTTCAGTAAAAGTAATTATATAATAGGTACCTGAAAAGGTAATCCGATCTGACAAAAAATAAGTCATCACTATACCCCCCCCCCCCCTAACGAATTTCATTTTTTTGCATTAAACTAAAATATTTTCCAAATTATATAAAGAATGGTATTTTGTTGGGATTTATTACATTTATTATAAATCAATCTAAATCGTAAATCCTTATCCCTTTTGGTTCTTTGAATCAATTCAAGTGACTCCGCTGCAAAAAAAAACAACAATTAAGACAGACCGTATAAAAACTCAGTTGTCTCAAATAAACTACAGTCTTTATTCGATTTGTATTATATTTTATGATCATATGTAAATCGCCTATCATTAGTTTTTATCTAAAGGGTATCTATTTTCCTTCATACGTTTAAAGACAAAAATACTCCTATATTTTATTCTTAGAAATTATTTTTTGACTATTAAACAGATAAGAGATATAATATTAATCATCGTTACCTGACGAGACCACAGCTGGCCAGATGGACAACATGAACAACAACCAATACGTCATGTTCGTTTTTAAATTTAACGTCGTTTGCCAGTCATTTGTTTTGGTCTCATTATCATGACGCTGTTTCTGGAAAGAAAAAAATATAGACACTTTTAATATAACATTTTTAGAGAAAACACTGAAAATTGTTTGCAGTAAATATTATATATTATTATAGACACAATGATTCAATGCGCATTTTTTTCCATGTCATCTAGTTTTCCATGAGCATAAACAATAATAATTTTAAACTTTAATTTTTTTCATCAAACGCATATACATTTTTGTATACTCCGATGAACCGGTCGGTGCACGGTCCAGTTATTGTCGGTAAATATAGTAAGTCATTTCGTGTTTTATATTATATTATTATAAAAAATTTATAATATCGAGTTGTGCCGCTTCCATCTTGGAACAATGCAATTAATGAACAACAGGCATCTTCGTCTGAACATATATCTATACAGTTGCGTGCAGCAGACTGCAGCTGCCAGCAACTGTGAAAACTTCCCTCTGCGGGATCGAGACAATTAAAATAATATTTAATGCGGGAAATCTTGATCTCTTGATGGAAACCCGATTGAAGAAAATAATTTTCTTCGATATAATATATTTTATTATTATCGTTATGGCCGTGGCAGCCGGGGCAACTTTTCGCGAATCGGTTGGGCCCGGCTTAATTAAGCCGATATTATATACATATTATGAGCAAGACACCGCCATAACCACCAATGCCACTACCCTCCGCCGAGTCCACAGAATTATTTTTACATTTTTTTTTCATTTTCCCTTTCAACTTTTACCCCTTTGGCTTTTCTGACCAACCGACCGACCGAACCGAAATTCGTTTTGGGAAATAATATCCTCCCTGTCTGCGTTAATTGAGTTACCCGCGATTATATATAAAACCATATTACATAATATTATATAATATATATATATATAAACATGTATACACGAGTATATACGCGCACGGCGCATTACTCGCCGACAGCCGCATAAAGAATAATCATCGGCTGCCGCCGTTTTTGGCAAACTGTGTGTGTCCGTGGATGTGTGGGTGGAATATTCGCGTATTATAGTCGTTGCATTTGCACCCCCTCTCCGCCGCCGTCGTTGTAAACGCCGCCAACACGCCTCGGGAATCCAACGGAATGTCAATTAAGCCGAATTAAACGTGGTAGACCGCTCGGCTGACGGGTCACGCACTACAGGCAGACACACACGCACGAATTTACCCTCTTCGCTGGCATAAATTCAATGAAAGACAATCCCCCCCTCACCACAGTGCAATGACTGACGACGAGCTCGGCCGGAAGTACCCTCGCGGCTCTGGAGGATCTTCCGACACTATATACATATAATATAAGTACATGACTGAATATAGTATAGTCGTGTAAAGTAATAAACAATAATAATGTGTTCCGCATACGTTATCTAGGGTGGGTTAAGGGTGTATCCGCCGTATATTTTGTCCATTCATATACTAATATAAAATATCTTCTGCGAGTCAATATTTTGAGTTTTTGAAAAATAGATATGTGTTCGTATGGTATCGCTCAGAACGCATATCAATATGTACATAACTAGTTCCAATAGTAGGTAACAGTTTTTAATAAAATACAATATCGTGATTGACCACAATCCGTGATATTGTTATTACGATCTATTATTGTCAAGGTTTATCAAATTACCTTCGGGCTTATTGCATAACTGGACTAAGCTGTACGGAATGCAAAGTAGTTTGATAAATCCTTTTCGGCCCTAGCGAAGAACAAATAAAAAAACAATTTGCTTCAAAAAAGAAGCCCAAAAACAGATCTTGACTGTCGAATCAAGTGAGATAATAATATGGTATTGCACTGATTGATTTGGTTAATAAAGAGGAAAGGGAATTCACCCTAATGTCCCGTAGAAATATATAGGGTTCTCACACCCAAATTAATTTTACCCTATTTGCACCCACCATGGTTAAATCATTGTGACTCAACTCTCGGTGGAATATAATAACGCAAGTCATACGGAAATTAGTCTTGTGCGCCAATTGTATTATAGGGCGCATAATAGACTCGTCAATTATAGGCTGGTACGCCGTGGTAGAACGATAATTATTATCGGAAACGAGACAATCGTGGTTAATATACGAAATTCGTTTACGCCGCAGAACGACGTAGGCGGTATATATTATATAATACTATGATCAATCGAAACGATTTCATTTTTTCTAGACTGTCAATTACAGCTTGTCTTGTATAGTTTTATATATTATTCACCATGTTACGCCACGACGAAATTATTACTTGAGACAAATACCTGTTATAATAAATATATATTTATAGTCGTATTGATGAAGAGACTTGAAAAATAAAAATCGGTTCGCTATCCAATTATATTATCATATAATTTAAAGTTGACGGTTATGTATATTACCCCGCATCTTATTGTAAATGGAATTATTGTAAGGGAGAAGAAACGGATATAGAATAAGCGTTTTGAAGAAAAAATCTGATCGAATTTATCAGATTATAGAGCACGAAAAAAAAAATAAAATTGAATGATGATTACGTCAACGGTAATAATAAGTAATAATCAGAATGAAAGGGCAAATGGGTGAAGTGGCCATCATGATATGGTGGAGTGCAGACGACGCGGGCTGGGTAGCGTTAGTGTGCGGATTTGGTGGTGGTTAGGGGTGGTGTGGTGTAATATAAAATATATATAGGACGTTCAGAATTTCAGAAATTTTCTTATATTGAAATGCAAAATTGAGAAATATATATAATCCAAACGTAATAAAAAAGGTTAATCAAAAATACTTGATACATTTTTTTTTAAACTCTTATTGTGGTGTAAGCTTTTGAAAACCATAAAAAAATGCATATTTTTTTTGTAATAAATAAGTAGAGATATATTTTTAATGGAATTTTTGTGAATGAAAACATATTTTAACTGTTTGTACTTTGTTCGTTGTCTGAATATTCCAAAAGGAAGAATACCAGACATTTAATAAAAAGATTATATTTATAATTTATGTGTGGCTCAAAATGATAAACAAATTGTCAATTTTAACACTTAATGTAAATTCTGTAGCAATTTAAGAAAACCAATTAAGTTAAAGTACTTAAGTATGATACACATATAATGTACTGTCATATAAGGTTTAAAAAACAAAATAAATTATAACTATTGTTATTCGTTAGTTTCAACATGAATAAAAATACACATTTTAATTATGTCAATTTGATGTAACCAGAACATGATGTAATAAATGAACTATATAGTATAATGTAGATGAGGTAATTTCCCTAATTTTCAGTATAGTTAATGCACTCCGTTATGAATTTAGTAATTTACATACATTAGTAAAGATAGTTAATAACCATTATACATATGTTATGTTATATTGACAGCTACCCAGATACTTCAATCATGGTTATTATGTCTTATTAATTCTTCCGATTTCCTTACTCAATTTTGACACCTGTTACCGGTTGTTGATGGACATTAAACCGTACTCGTGTGATGTGTGCGATAATCATTCACTCAATATTAGGTCCAATGAGGCGGTACATCATCGGACGGACACGGGCGAGAAACTATAATATTATGTGTTATTTATTTGTGAGACGTAAGCAACAAGTCTTTTACTCAAAAGGCACTCAGGTGGTTGCACCACTAGCAGACGCTGTGTCTTCAGTTGTACTTATATGACGTAACAGCCAAATGAACAGAGGTCAGGTCAGGTCATTGCTGTTTATGTAGTAGTTTATTGCTTATCAATAATATAATTAAATTACAATTGGTTTTTTTAAATGCCTGGGAGTGTATGCGACGACAACACTGCAGCTTTGTTGTTGTTTTTAATTGTCCATTTAAATTATTTAATATTAGCTTAGTGTTGCAGTTTAAAAATATTTTCAAGTTAAAAATATGTTTGTAAGCTTATCACGGCGGAGGATGTGATGCATGATACAATGTTTTAGGAAGCCTGAATTTAAGCTGAATTAAAAATAAAAAATTTATAGCTGAGATATTGTGCATATTTTAATTTTTAACAACACGTCCGAGTAACCCTCGAAAAATGGATCACCTGAAATGACTACGACATAAAATATATTATATTATTAATTTTAAATTGAATATACTCATTTTTAACATTTTTATTGCTGCCAACAGCAAAATAGAATGAAAAGAAAAATTACTTTGGAAAACGTTTATAATTTTGTTCACCTTTAACACAATCACCCTGTACATTCAACGTGTGTAATATATTATACACTACTGGCTGCATAATAATAATTACTCCGCTGAGGCTTTTCATGTCGGTCGTGACAACCGTCGTCGTATTATTATTATATATAAATATAGCAGCAGCGCACCTTACTCAGTCGACGTTCGGGCCTCCGGCGGGACCAACCCCTACATTGTCCCACACCAGTAGTGGTAGTGGTTGTGGTGTAGGGTAGAGGTAGGGAGAAAGGCGCGATAAATAATTCATAGACACCGTCGAGTAGAGATGATAACCTTAGTGTGAGTTAGTGCTTCTCGTGTATATTATCTACAACGACACATAACTCGACCGACGTGGTAGTCGGTGTTGTGATTACGGATTTTGCAATCAATATTTTTTTTAACTATAGTAACCTCACTCGTGACCAATTAAGTGAAATTACTTTATAACCATACGAAATAAAAAGCTTAAAATATCAAAATATACATTTTATTTAGGAGACTATTATTGCTTATTAATTATTATTATAGCATAACTTAAATAATGTCGTTGATACACTGCCCATTCACTCAATACTTTTTTGTGTTAAAATTCATAATTGTTGGAAGATACGACCACACGTTTTTTTAACTGTGTAAAATGTGTGTCTCTACCGAGTATATAATTATTATTATACATACTATATTATTGTAGAATTATATTTACAGATTATTTAATTTTAAATTATAAGACTTCATGTACACATAAGTATATAACTTTCTATCGTCGATACAACGAATCTTCCTGTTAGATATATTATATACTTATTATAATCAAAATGTTGTATTAAATTAAATTTTTTATCAAATATGTTATC